GTGATGTTCTCTGTAAGTCTTTCAGCTCTAAAATACCACCACCACTGCAATCTGTGCCAGTCCCTCAAATCCTAACTATGGCTTCTTTGGCCACAATTCGTACAAAACAAAAGCTCATACAGCCCAGAAGTAAACAGAAGTAGTCCACGTGCCTATTTGTGAGTCTGATTCCACTACCACCTTGTATTCTGTTATAGGTCCAGCCTATGACAGTGTTAGAGAGGACTCAGATTATTAAAGTTCAGATGGGCTTTAGAAATGACTGGTTAATCTTCCTCATTTTACAAAGAGGGTTCTAAGGCTCAGAAAGGCAAAGTAACCTGCTCACAGGCAAAGAGCTAGCTCACAGCAGATCCAAGAGGAGAGCTTAGGTCTCCATACTCCCAGGCCACAGTTCACTCCACTATTCAAGGGACAGGGTGAAGCCAGAGGGAGCCTAGGATGTGAAGGCCAAGAAGGAATCACAAATCCCAGAGGTGGAACTCAGGAAAGTGTGTGAGGAAATGGCAATATAGCATCCCAAAACCCTATGAAATGGCATCAGCGGATGAGGCCACTAGGCAGCTGATAAAAGCTGTCAACCATAGCAAAAGAGTCACACAATTATGAAAAATAGATTCAATCAGTTGTTAACAAAAAATTTCCAGACATAACCTAAAAAACAAAGAATTCTTTTGTAAATAAACATTTATTGAGAGTAGAGCAGTCAATGTTTCCTCAAATTTTTTTTTTCTTGACTTGCTACAGGTAAGAAAAACATTTTACACTGAGATCCAGTACTTTCATTCAAGTACAGAAAAACAAAATAATAGTTTTGGGTAAAATACATGCCCTCACTATGTATGATAAAGTAAAATATAATAAAGTTAATATTAAATATGATTTTATGAACATTTTATAGGACAAATTTAAAATGTCAAAATAAATAATACTGCAATGGATTTCAAAATAAACAACAAAAAAATACTTGTCAAATCCTATTAGATTCATTTACTGACCAACTAACAGGTTTCATGCAGTTTAAAAAGTATGCTATAAATTAAACAGCATGAATGAGCTCCTATTGGAAAGACTTTCAGCAATCTGGGAAACTGAGCTTTGTAATATTGGGTACATCACTTCACCAAGCACTTCCCTTAACAAGCCTGAGGTTCCGTTTCATGCCTGAGGTATTAATTATTCAACTTCACAGGGTAATTGAGGGTTATACTAAACAGTCCTCTATTTCCTGAATTCCAACATGTTAATTTTCTCACATTTGAAACTATCTGGGATATTTCAGAGTTCACTTAATAATCTATGTGCCCTATTAATGTGACAGCATTTCCTTTCCCCTGAAAGAACTGCTGTTAAATGGATGTCACTCTGGAACAGAGTGTAAGTTGATTACATGCACTAGATTACAAAAAAGAGTAATATGGAACCGAAGAATCCCATGTTTCTTTTGTGCCCAGGAAGAAACTAAAAGAAAAAGAAAAACAGGTTGTCTTTGTTTATACAAAGTCTTGGGAAGGAGTCTTCAGTGGACAAAAAGGGGCTCAGTACTGCGTTTTGGGGACTTGATTATTTTTCCATGGTCCCTGTAACCTCAGCCTCTAATGGGGATGATGGAAGGTCATTACTTATCCCACCACTAGTAGTACACAAAACCTAAGCCTACGACTCACACAAGCCAAAAAAGACTAAGAACCAAGAAAGTCACTGTTCTAGATTGTCTTACCAAAAGATAGGTTTAGTTTATTTTAAAAATGAAGTTAAAGAAGTAAATCTCTAAGATGACAATGCACGTAAAGCATATTCAGAGTTGGGTTCTCCGAATTACATGAAATTACATGAACAAAAACATTGTCACACATGTGCCATTCATAAATACCCACAATGCTGGGCAGCACAGATGACACAGTGCTATAAATGACTGGCTGGTATTCGTAGAAACTAGGGGGAGGGAAGTAAGGCAGGACGGAAAAGAGAAAGGGAAGAAGGAATCACACTTTTTAAAAAAGAAATGTTTTCGTCACTAATTATACATTATAGGATGTGAAACACAATAGTGATATTTTATATACCAACCCTTCAAACACCTGGGCTGTTTGATCGGGATTCAGGATCAGGCAGCTGTGGTAGCGCCTGAGAACGGCCACGATGCACACACAGAGGCCCGTGGTATAGCTTCCTGCCAGGCTGGAGGACTTCAGGAGCAGTTCAGCTTCCACAACACTCAGTTCATTTAGTAGCTACAACGAGAGAAAAGACTGAATGAAAAAGTAGCTGCCAAAGCAAATGGGAGAACATTTAATTTTAAAAACCATGCTTGTATTGAGTCACTCCAGTAATACTTGACCTCACCCCTTATCCTGCCCAGGGCCATGTACATATACAACTAGTCTCAGAAAGCATATGGTTTTCATTTTTAATCCTTTACCAAATCATGGAGCTTTTCTTTCACCTAGAATCATGGTACATTCAATCAGAAAGCATCCAATACTAAAATAGTTACCAAAACTCTATGGTGGCCCAAAGCTATAGGTTGAATAATTTCAGAGAAGAACACCACACCTCTCACTTTTTTTCTCCCTTTTCCCTTCTTTTTAATAAAACAGAAATGATTAATCATTATTTTCATTTTATTAACAAAGCTAACACCTCCAACAGAATAAGCAATAGAAACCAACTTTCATTTCTATTTATTAACAACATAAGATAATAAGTACACTCAAGTATATATGTAAGAAATATAGCAGGGCAAATAAAATTTTACGGTGGTTTTTTTTCCCCTCTTAATCTAAACTATACTTTATTATAAACAGCAAATAAACTTCCACCTTTCCCTAAGCAAAGTAATGAAAGACAGAAAAATACCCTCAGAACACTCACATTTTTAAATGACCATTATATATTTTAGCTTGGTATTACAATTATTTAACTGAAAGCTATAAATACAGTTGCACTTAAAATGCTAGCTAAATACTGTTGATTCAGAACATCTCAATAATTCGAAAATGCACCGGGTGGCTCATTTTAAACTGTACGATGCCTGGTAGGTTTGCTGTCTTAAAAATGAGAGGAGCGGGGTCTCTTTGACACCTGTATTGCGAAGTCAATCAGTCCATTGATGTTCAGCGCTGGCTCCATGAGGTCAAAGGTGAGCTGAATGTGGTGAGCCAAAGGCAGGTGATAGGAGGTCCCGGACGCAAAGCTTGTGATCTGCTCCAGCACATTGCTAGAGATCTGTGCAAACAAACAGGAAAACAATGAGAAGACCAACATCCAAATAATTTATTTCTTAAGTTATTTTAATTTTTTATTAAGAAATTTGAATTTATATGTGATTCTACTTAGAAGTTAAAATATATTTCTACAGAAACCAAAATCATGTGCAAAGTGACTTCCTTACTACAACTATAATTTGAAGAAATAAGCCAAGTTGTCATTAAGATCTAGACCTAACTGTCCTAAAGGTAGACAACTATAAGTATTAAGCAATTTCCAGATAATATCTATTTGAATATCAATGGATTTGTAAAATTAAAGAGAGTTGGTTTTTGTCATTAACAGTCTTCTCCCTTATTAATAGCAATGTAGGACCACACTCTAAAAACGTAAGATTGCATTAGGAATACGTTATATAATGTTGATTATTACCATAAGGCAAAAATATTTTCATAATGAAAATTAATTCTTCTGAGGAAGAAAACCTGACACTTAAAACTGAACTACTCAATAGTTTGAGATGCTTCCAAATGTTTTAAAAGCATATTTATAAAACCAACTAGGGCCCAGCCGGGCGTGGCTCAGCAGTTGAGCATGGACCCGGGATCCAGGCAATCGCGGTTCGATTCCCGGTCCGGGCACATGCCCGGGTTGTGGGCTCGATCAGTGACTCATCATTGATGTTTCTATCTCTCTCTCCCTCTCCCTCCCTTTCTGAAATCAATAAAGATATATTAAAAAAAGTTTTAAAACCAACTATGGCATGAAACATATCACATGAGAGATTTCTAGGAAAATATGAATACTCCAGATGAATAATAAGCGACTGTAAATGGCTACCTGAGATGTGACTTGATGCTGATCAAAATAGGAAAGGAGTTGAAGCTTTGTGAACACAGTCTCCAGTGTTGGAAATGTTTCCTGTCTGCTCTTCCTGGCTTTTTGTCCTTCATCTCCAACTAAAAAACACACAGTAATACATTATTTTCTGTTCAACAGAAGCTCTTGACTTTTCAATGATACTGTTTTACTGAAATATAACATACATACAAGAAGTACACAAACTCTATGAATTTCTACAAAATAAATACACTCACGTAATGAAACTCAAGTCACAAAATGACATATCAGAACCCCAGAAACTTCATCAGGCCCCCCTCCAGTCACTTCTCCCTCCCCAGGGGACAAGATCCCAACTTCTAACAGCTTAGACTGATACTGCCCACCTCGGAACTTTATATAAATACAACCATGCAATATATACATCTAATACCTGGCATCTTTCACTCAACACTGGGTTTCTGAGATTAATCCATATTGCTGCAATTTTAATTTCCCCAAAAAATCAATACTTCCCACTTTTGTACTGTATTCCAATGTTTGACTACACTGCCATTACTGATCCATTACAGTGAGCTCTTTTGAGATTTTGGCTACATAAGAAGCACCTCCATGAACATTTCTAACTAACTGACTTTTAAAATAGAGTGATCTCAACAACAAAGGGGGAAAAACACCCAGGCACATTCTGATTTAATAGGAAGCTTCACTGGCATCTTCTCTTAGGAGACTTACTATGAAATTTTCCCAAACAGTTTAATATGTAAAAAAGGAAATTTACATGATTCCTAACTTTTTTAGGGGTAGAAAAGAATGAAATCCCTCCACATTAATGGGAAAGTTCAACACTTATTTTAGTATGAAGAAGTTTGAAAAAATTATAATAGAAATGTTTTATAAATATTGCTATTACAGAGGTACCCTTGTTCTTAAGAGTTTGAAGGATAACATCCAAAAATACTTAGATCCAGTTTTTAAATACTTTGTAATGTGTGTATTTATAAAGATAAATCTAAAACAAACATAAAGGAAAGGTTGGACTCCATGATGTTTCAGATCATTTCCAGCACAATGATTCTAACTAGTAAAAGGCTATGGTGGCGAGAGCACTACCACCCACCCCCCACTCCTGGTCCAGCTCCGACCCTCCTCTACACCCCACCCGCTCCCTCTGGCAATCACCATACTGAGGTGCCTAAGAGGGACCGTTTGTTTGCTTGTTTGTTGTTGCTTTTGGCCTAATCACTCACATTTTATCTGGAAGTTTAATCCAGAGAACAAAGGTAATTACACACCTCTATTAAAGATACAACAAAGACTTCACTGAACCCAAAAAGATTTTGTTAATGACAAACGTAATGAGGTTAAAAAATAACATTAGAAGACAGGATATTTCCCTTTCAACAATAAGCAAGTACAGCTTAAGCCCCCACCAGATGAAACCCAGGCTGCTTTGTCCTCCTTGCCTAAGGCACACACACCCCAGCACCAGAGAAACTCAGAATTAAAAGGTGCTGATTAGCACCAGGTACGAGGCTGCTCCACTACTGTCAAATAATACCAACGGTAATACAAAGAATGAGAACTAGTAAGTTCATTAAACCTACTTATTTTTTGATGTATATTCTCAAAAGTTACAAATTAAATGTGGGATTTGGCCTCCCATATAGCTGCTCACATGTCATGAGAACGCTGAAAATATCCACGTTTTGAATTTTGCATTTACTAGCACTGCTGATCCAAGGCTGAAAGTGCACATCAACAGTCTTGGGTACAATGTGCTTTAAAACCGAAGTTAACGGAATTATTTAACCCTCCCTGCACCAAAGCAAAAGCACAAACAATAACAACAGAGATGAGGGAGTAGATCCATCATGAGAACTCACAAATGCATCTTTTTTGTTTGTTCATGCTAATAAGCTGTAGCTAACTTCTTAAAATCTCATATAAAAAAGATGCAATTGATTATTGGCAATTCATATTCATTTTCAAAATATATACAAAAAATTAGTGGTGGTTCTCAATGGAATACATTATTTTAATAATATTCACATGAATAACAATAGTCATAACTCATAGATTTTTCTCATCTGTCTTATGTTAATTAGCTTTCATCATAGATGTTATTGTTCTTTAGTTGCTTAATTTTGGTTGTCCGTTTTTTGAAGTCTTTAAATCCTAGAAGTTTTGGGCTTCTAGTTTGGTAAACTTCCATTAATATTTTCAAAAGACGCACCACTGAACACCAAAGATGACTAGTCATGTAAATGTAAAATGAGGTTTGAGCATCTTCAACTGGAACTGTCATATAAGTTTTAGATTATAAATACTGCTAGGAAAGGCCTGGCTCATGTGAGAACACTCCTAATCATATTTTTAGTGTAACCAGAAATCAAATACATGCTTACACAAGCTCAGTTTTCCTGCCTTACCCCCCATCTTTGCTGACAGAAGGGGGCAAATTTCCATCAACCTGAAGGATAGTTACCTAGATTCTGGTGAGCACACTAGGTTTTAAGCAGTGACTTAAATGTAGACTATCAGAAGATCTAATTAAAATATTTCTGGTTGAGGAATTTTATCTAAAATGAAGGAAAGACAAGGTCTCCTTTGAAGATGCCTCTTCAGAGTGGTGTTTGCATTACTGGTATCTGGAAAAGCAGCATGGAACAATGACTGTCCCTGTGAGTTCACAAGCAAGACTTGCCTACTTAAGAGACTGATACAAAGATAGCACAGACTATAGTCTGGCATAAAAAACTCTCAAGGAAGGAAGTAGACTCAACAGAAAAAGACATCACATTGCTTCCTTCCTCTTCCCACCCCTATCAATTTTCCAAAAACCAAAAATTCCACAGCATCTCAAAAGACTCTCTAAAATGAATTTAGATTTTTTTAAATGTTACTGAACCTTTTAAGTGAGAGAGTGCCCATCTCATTCTCAAGCATACAAAAAGCAGTTTCAGTAGTTTCTGCTCCCTACTTGCAGGGCTTCTAAATTCCTCCTTCCAAATGCAACCCATTTCCTCTTTCTCTGAGAGAAAAGAGCCAGGAACAGATCAACAGCTTTTCTTAGAGCAGCTTTGTTCTGTTCAACCTCAGTAATGACAGGCCAGCATCAACCGGGTTTCATTTCCCTTCCACACTCTTGGCTGTCCCCTCAGGCCGTTGGTGTAGTGCAAGGTCCGTCCTTAACCAGCAGCAGGATGAAGTCAGGGAACATGATGCACATCACGTGAAAGTAGCTCTTCCATTGTGTGTTCTCAGGACGAGCCTGTGACTTACACACCCGCCACATCACAGTCAGAGGGAAGAGAGCCCTTGTGCCTCGTTTCTGCCTGTGCCCCTCTACTGATGGAGAGGAAAGAGAGCTATGTGCATTAGTTGTGTCTGTACTTTCCTGTTGGGAAGATAGAGTGTGGACCAGCTCTAGTCATTCATCTGCTTAGTCTCCCGGGACTCCTGTGGAGAGGTTCGCAGAGGAGTGTTTATTTTGTACTGAACATCAAAGTAGGGCTTCTAGAGGTGGTTTATATCATGTGTAGGAAGTGTGCTGTCTGCACAGGGAAAATTGGCACTTTTCCCCCCTTTGCATTATTTCAGTAATAGACAAAAACACCACTGGTGGTGGTAGAGTATATGTAATGATATCATACTTTAAATCACATGACTGCCTAATAAAATAAACAGACTCTGAAAGGAGTAATTAGGTAAATGTGAAGTGGATAATTACAAAATTTCCATTATGCAATGTGGTGACATAATAGGAAGGCACAGCTTCACTGTAAAAGTGATGTAAGAGGCCAGGGGAAAGAACATTCCACGTCAGGAAGGCATTTAGAGCAAGGATCTAATTTTCTTCTTCACTTGAAATGGTTTGGTGATATGGGGAGCCACCATTACCTACTGCAATTATGCTTCTGAAAAATGTAAGAAAAGAGCAGCAACTACATTGTCATGATTTTCAACTATCGTGTAAATATGAGTACCCAGAGCAAACTACAAGCTTGAAAAAGGATGGCAAAGAACAGGGGACTCTCTCCCAGAATAAGGGTTTCCAGTTCATTCTTTAATACTTCATGTTTCACTATGCAGAAAACTTGGGAAGTATAAAACAAGAGTAGAAAATAGAACTACCTACATCTATCCATAGAATGTGCTATATGCTATTTTAATACAGGATTACTATAAATGGAACCAAGGCCTTAAAATTTCAATGTGCTTATTCATATTTCAATGTGACAGTCATTCAGGAGAGGAAACACTGGGGAGGGTGCCATGTACAAACTTGATAAAGACCGAGATAAGGGGAAGGACATAAGACAGCACAATGGGAACAAGTGCATTCAGGCTCTTTACCCCCTGTCTCTGTGGTGCTCTTCTTATTTAGGATTTTCAAAATATCTTTGGTAATCTTCCTCAGCTGATGCCTCGCTTCGTCACGCTCTCTGCCCACGCCGTAGAGAAGGATTGTGCGCTGGTTACATTCATGACTTGAAGATTCATCCTGAAAAACAGAAAGTGCACTCTGAAGCCAGGACTGCGGGCCCAGGGCTGCACTCGTGTGCAGGAAGTGCACTAACCACAGCATCTCCATGCAGCTCACCGGGCGGCGCCGCCCACCTCTCAGTGTACCTCAAGCTCCACTGGCAACACCCTTGTTTTTCCAGTTGGGACTTGCTAAAGTTAAAAAAAGTGTCAACTGACCTGAAGTCTTAACAGAAGCAGTTGACGTGGGCGTACCCTACAGAGTAAGTTTTGACCATTGAAAAACTTTTCATTGTTTAAAATTTAGCATGGTGTTAATTTCACATCATATTTACATACTATGGAGTCGTACATTTCCCTTAAGGAAAATGTTTATCTCTTAGTAAGTTTGATTTTCTCTATACAGCATCATTAAATATTTTATATTTAGAAAAAAAGATCTTTCTAGGATCCTCAAGTACTTTTACAAAAATGTTCCACTTACTTCCAACATGACTGTCTAAGATACGTGCATATTTATTTCCAAACAAAAGAATATAGCATGTGGGTTTCATTCGATGGGAGGTAAATAGGGAAGTGCAAACAGGTTCTGTCTGACACCCACTTCTCTTCTGGATCAGCTCCCCAACGGTGCCCACAGACATAGTGAATCGAGCACTAGTTTTCCGCATGGGAAGGGAAATTATTTGGCCACAGCAAAACAACATGCACATACTGCTAAACACATCCTCAGCCAAAGTTAACAGTCCAGGATGTGTTCTCTCTCACATATGGTTTAGAATTTTTCCATCTAAATTTCTCTCTCGTATCTTATACTCTTCCATCTTCTTGGGATAATTTCCAGCTCTATCCTTCAGACCATCTTCTTTTCATATCATTTCTACAAGTTTCGCCTGCCAGGTGTTTACCCTTCCTAACAGCATCTAATTCTAGGGAGTTAGCATGAGAAAAGAACACCTCCCAGGAAACACAAAGTGCACTGCGGTCCTAATCAGCAGTGGCTGCAAAAAAGAGCAAAATTCTGGAGACAGAGAAGCGCAGCACTTAATTTGCACGCTGGGCACACTGCGCAAAAAAGCATTAGCTTCTGCAGTCTTGAAACAAGAGCCTGCTCTCTGTCTCTGTCACTTTCCTCTGTCTCCTTTCTTTCTCTCACACACTTGAATTCAAGGCACCACTTCTCCTTGCACTGGTTCCCTTTTTTACTATATTCTATCAGTAATCTACTTTTGTATACCCTGCCACTCTATCTTGCCACCCCATCTCCCAATAATTATTGTTTTAGGTGTTCAATTTTGCCTCCTTAAAAAGGGAAGAAAAGGCTAGGAGTGAATCTTTTCTAGAAATGTTATTTAATATACTGAATATCCAAATCTCCCCCACATTTTCCAAAGACAGACCTAACCACAGGATAAAGTCAACATAGGCAGTGATTCCTATACCTGGCTGCACATCTGAATGACCTGAGCTTCTTGTTAATTTCCAATTTTTGTTGTTGTCAGAGGGCATTGCCTATATATTGCTTTTTGTCTGGTGGGAACAAGGAGGGCACTGAGAAAACCCAGGCAGTGCTAGTCCTGTTCCCTGGGATTGTTTCCAGTTAAGGCACCTGTCGTCAAATGATTCTAATGTACACTTCTGTGGGAGGCATGACGGAAGGATGTTAGCGAAGTTATTCTCAGCTGTTTATAGAGTATCTCCTTACAGCAAGACAAGGTGCCAGGAACTCTGAGAAAATGCAAGGATGACAGTTCCTTGTCCTCAAGGAAAACAGATTCAGTGCCATAAAAGCAGCATTTGCAGCCCTGGACAGTGTGGCTCAGTGGTTGGAGCATCAGACTGCACACCTAAGGGTTCAATTTGGGGTCAAGGGCACATACCTGTGTTGTGGGTTCGCTCCCCAACCCCAGTCGGGTGCCTGTGGGAGGCAACCAGTTGATGTGTCTCTCTCGCATCTATGTTCTCCTTGAGGACA